CAGCAGGAGTAGACCAGCAGTGATTTTCACAATAATGTAGATTCCAATTTCTTTCAGGCTCTCTGGTACACCTCTAGATCCCCTTTGGGACCCATTTTCAGTTCAGAAAGACCTTGTTATATAAATGTTTTGACTACATCTACAAAGTGATGAATTTCTATAGAACAGAAGACCTGAGCTTAAATATGATTGACAACCTATTCAGTTCTCTTATATCAAAGTATTGATAATTAAATTTACATAGAACACAGGCATTGAGTAAAACGTATTTTACTAGCAGGGCTGAGAAGAAACCTTTAACAGCAAATACCATTACTATAAGGCAGACATCAAAATGGCCAAGAAAAGACAAACCAGTAAATAAACATGGTTTCTAGAACTCTCCTATTTTATTCTAGACTGACGACCAAGGGAATCAAACATTTTCTGTCCAACTGATCCCTATGTGTTTAACAGGAACAGCTTCCCTGTCCCCTTATGTAGGAAACGCACATCTGACTGTCTACAGGAGAGAAATAAAGATTTAGAAATTGTGTTCTGGCAGAAACATTACCAGACAAGCAATCAAGCCCGTATCAAGCATCCATATAATCTCTATTTTAGGTCAAAATCTGCCCTGCGCTACCGACCTTCAGTTTCACTGACCTCACTGTGTTCCTGTGGGAAAACCACACTCAGAGGTGATGCTGCTCTGGACCAGGCTGCGATAAGTGATATCTTCTTAATATCTCACACGAAGGAGAGGAATGAAATGAGATTCCTTTCAGACCATCTAAGGCAGCAATAATCCCATGGGAAATTTTTATCTTGGTGTTATAAAAACTAAATTGGCCAGCCAAATGAACAAAAGGCATGTCATACCAGGGGACTGGTTTTGACTGCAGCTTGCCACCTGGAGTTCATTAAACCACTTCTGCCTTGCAGCATGACCTACCTAGCTTTAATTGTGTTACCAGAAGAAAATGTCGATAAGTGGTGTATCTTTCATTTGACTTAACTACAGGGCACAAACTGCAGTAGCGATTCCTCTCCACAGGGGCCTTATTGAAAGAAAAATGGCACCCTGTTTTGATGCCGTAAGTACAAAACAGATATTAAAGAGCTGTGAAAAACATACCAGGCACCCCCTTCCTGTTCCTCGGTTCTCAGTTCAAGGACTCTATTCAATAAATAACTACACTTAATTGATGCAGCATTTGCTTGAACTTAACTGTCAAAATGTCTTGACAATTAATCAGATTTCTCACCCCAAACTGTAATTTTACATTAGTTGGGAACTTCAATCACTGATAAATTTCTTATTCTATGTCGATTGGAAAATGGAAAAATCTATTATTTAAACAAGCAAAGTTTTATATGTATGACTTTCTTGGCTTATAATATAAACATAGTAGATAATTTAACTAAAACATTATGTATGCAGCAGGGAGCATTAAGTATTTTTACAGTAATCTGATGCACTATTGTAGTAATTATCCTAGTATTCAGTGAAATAGAATATTTTCTATTTTAACCCAGCATTCAAACCACATACATTTACATTCTTTTACAAGCTTTTCTGTGCAGTGCAATACACAGTGCATGAAGTTCTGTTAAAAGATCAGAATGCTTGAAAAAAGCCCAGACGTTTTGTTCCTGCCTTTTTTAGAGTACAAAGAAAATGGGGATGCAAAGTTGCTGTGCAAATGGTAAGCGGGTGGATCTATTCTCTACATCTGGAAGAGAAAGGACAGTCATTTATTTCTATCAGATAGTCTCAGTTTGGTGACTGCTTAAAAATATGTACTATCAGCTGAAAATAACTCAGAAGAAATGCCAAGCCCTACATATGCTTGAGCCTCTCTGTAAATCTATTGAAACTGGCAATGTTATTTATACTCCTTCTGTAAAAGAGTAAACAGCTAGTGTCTGCAGTTAATGAAACCGGTCATAGGAGTAACCAGTTATCAAATTGCCTACAACACTATTGCAAATGCTCTCAACTTTACATCTAAGTCTCAGAACGGTCATTGTTTTTCTTAAGAGCCCTTAAATTTGGCTAGAATCCATTGATTTTCTAAGAATCTCAGGTTTCTTATAAATAAAATAGTAAACTTTTAGCCATTATGGTCCAGACAAAAGCCTGAAAACACAACTTGACTGCATCCTAAAACTTCCAAAGCCACAGACTATAGAGGGAACAACAGGAAGCGCATACGTATTCATTGTTTAATCTCATTATTTTTAAGCCAGTGTAATGACTTTGGTAGGCCTGAATCATAATTTTTGAAGCATATGGAATATAAATAATAACAATTACACTGAAATACCAAAATCTGCCTTACAATTAAAGGCCTTTTTAAGCAGGGACCCAGAAAATGTTCAGTTATTTTTTTAAATGGCAAACATTCCTTTAAAATATTGTAGAGTAGTTAAATGATTGACAACACTAAAGAAATACTACAGATTACAAGACAAACATTTCTTCTCCTCAGGCGTACTCTTTATTCTGATAACAGCTATTACTTCTCACTGACAATATTATGAAAATTAAACTTATGTTGGGGGCTCTCAGATCAGGGCCAAAGTTCTTCAGATTGAATAAAAAAAAAAAACTAAAAAAACCCCAAAAACACACTGTGGGAAAATGAGGGCAAATCCTGAGACCCCCGAGAACACAGTTGACTTATTTTCAGTTTGGGATTTCTTCGGTCACTGAAGACAAACTAGATCTTTAGCTTTCAGGATGGTTACAGAGTTTCCTGTGGATGTTAAAGGCAACGTCTGCCTCAATTAGGCTGGACAACTTTTATTTGCACTCATGGAACGACTGATGAAAGCAGTATTAATTATGCTAACAGGTATAACACAACGTAGTAGTCCTCAAAAGCAGTAAGTTTCATGGCAGCCAATATGCTGCATGACAAGCCACACAGATTTGGTGCAGAAAGTACACAAAATGACCAAAGACTCGGGTTACTAATGCTCTAGAACCTGCTGAATATGATGAACTGGAAAGTAAAGATGATGTTTGATAATGCCTTGCAGATTGCTCTATCTCTGTAATTCTAATACCTCAAAAACAATGTTTCCATCTGCATTTTTACATCTGCTTTGGAGAGGGACCAGAGGAGAGTTTGAACTAAGAGTCTAGTCTGTATGAGGATTTTAAAAAAAGGTGCAAGTGACAAGCACCAAAACAGGGATTCAGTCCTTGCTCAAACAGTGGCTATAAAGCTTCCAGCCTACTTAGACCCTGCAGACTTTTCCCTCACTCAGAGAGAGTCAAGCACTAAGAGACGGGGGTAGGGAGTTCTGAGGATACAGAAATCCACAGGAATTTATTTTAATAGCCACTGCTAGATACATACATACTAGAGAAAAAGTACCTAATATAATTTACATTACACTGGGATATTCCAAACTCAGACAACATTTATTTCTTGTAACCAAAGAGTTCATCTAATTGAAATGAGATTTGAACATAAAACTTAGCAGAAATGGATCAGCTCCTTTGAACTACACAATGGAAAAAATAGTAGACAGTGAGATCATTAGTTAGTACATTGCAATAAGTTGGAAAGAGAAGAGATGTCTGGTTCCCTTAAAACTATATATCGGCAGGTAATTTTTGGTCTGTTTGAAAGCCTTTGCCAAGGCAGCAAGAAGACCAGAACTGATAGAAGGAAAAAATCACTGCTACCTAACTAGCATAACAGCACAGGGACTTCTGAGGCTGTTCATTGATAAAATATCCTGACAAATTCCCACATTTCCCAGGAGCATCACATAAGAAAAATGTCTAGACATAGTACCAGTGATACCACAGAAGTCTCAAGAACACAACCAGATATTTTCTTTCAAACTTCTTTAAATGGATCATTTCTACTGAGTATCAAACAAATGGTTAGATTATGATGAATACCTATAGGACCGTTCTGGGTCAGGCAACCTCACAAATTCATGAAAGGGCCAGAAGTCAACAACAGAATTCACACTCAGCTCCCTCAGGAACAAAATTAAGCTGAACATGGGATTCTGCTCATCAGTCTTTTTGAAGTTTCTTCATGCCGGCAAATGAAACTACTGTCTTCAGTACGGGCTCCTTAAATCACCGTCAAGTTTTTATGTGAATGTTTTTGCGTGGACAAACTCACGTGTGAAAATGCAGGCAATGCAAACATGCACATGTGCAATAGCAGGCAAAGCCTAGAGATTATTTCAGCTTAGATGTCTGCTGATGTCCTCAAAATTCAAAAACTTTGGAGTTTTAGAACACCTCTGACAAAGATATTGGCTAAAAAGCAGTAGTAAAGTGGATTTAAGATGGCAAGGGAATGATTGTACATTACAAAAATCATTTGAGATATGAAAAAGAGAACTACAAATTTAGTAGTAATGAAAGCCTTGTTTCTGCTTTAGAGGACAATTTCCTTATTTCTAAAAACAACTTCCTCATTAAAATAAAGAAACAGAGACTCTCAGTCACAACATCTGTCACTGCTGTGTCACTTTTATACGTATATACTTGGACTACAGCCTCTTCTACCTCGCCAGCCAAAATACCCACTGAAGGTAGCGGAGGGAATGGGATGCATCAGCTTTTGTGACCACATGTGCTGCTATTCCTATGGATCAAGCCCATCAGTAAACAGCAGTAGTAAATGATAAAGGAGGCACTTATCAGTCACTTACCGTCCTGCCGATAGCATTCTAGGGCATCCCTCCCCACTTCTGTCTTCGAGGTTTGAACTGGTGAATAGTACAAAGGAGGCTGCTTTCTGTGAGCTCTAGACTGGCTCTCTGCTTCCAATTGTTTCTGTTCTCCCCTCTTCTACATTTTTTATTTCTTCTAGGGGTACAACTGTCTTCACTTCCCACTGATGTCATCAGTCCTGTCATATATAGGTGTGTTCACAATTCCACTGCCTCCACTTAACACTTCATAACTCACTTGTGTTCAGTCCCAAAGTACAGCATGTAGTAGCAACACCAGCAACCTTGTCTAGTAACATGTACTTAGGACGACAGGGAGATTCGATTACATCCAAAAAGGAATGTGCCTAACTACTTGCAGACAGATGTATGGCACAGAGCTCCTATAGAGCTATATACTGTACCAAGACCTAAACAAACTCCCGTTTGATCTTCAGGCTGGTCAGACTGAAAGCAAGTCTCCCTAATTACAACTTTGTATCCCTACTGTACTGCAGAAAATGGCAGCATTTTGGAAGATAAGGAATAATTAACATGGGAATTTTAACTCTGAAACTATACACTTTCAGTTCCTAAGAAAGGTCATTTCCACATGCCCGTCACTGATGCATTAAACATGCCGGTACCACCAACCGCCTGGCAGCTGAGACTCCTGCAGCAAGAAGACTAAAGCAAGTTGCTGTGTTAATAACTTCTTGCACCTTAGTCAGTGTTTGAACACAGGATAGAAAGGAAACAAAGTAGTTTGAAATAATCTATGGATAACCTAAAAATAAGTTAAAACTTGAAGGCGCATGTTTTCCTACAGATCAATGTAGTTAATTTAGGGTAACACTAACAGAAGACTCAACAATGTCAAACAATGCCAAATTCTTACAACTCAGGATAAATAAATAGATAAATAAATAGACAGATAAATAAATAGACAGATAAATAAATAAATAAATAAAGGTACCTCCAAGACATGTGACTGAACAAGGAGTAAAACCAATGTACTCCCAGTCATAGATCACACTGCCACCTTCAGCATGTGAAAATTCTGTTGTGTAAGGGACAGGATCACTGTCACAGGATGCCTGATGACAGACTCGTTCTGTTGGTGGCTTCACATCTTCACATTCCTCCTCTGGCAATTCAACTTCAGTCTGAGTAAACGCAAGAAGAATTCGGCATTTCACATCTCGCACCTGTATGCCATTGCCACACGTAGCACTGCATGGAGACCAGGGTTCAGGAATAAACCTGTAAATTATCACAGCACAGTAGAAACACCGTCATGTTATTCCGTATAATTGTGTCTCTGTGTGCACAGTCAAAACATAGCTAAAACACATAAATGTATCTTTATACACAAAGCAGACAATACATAATACTATTTGATGCTTAAATAGAATGCATAATCAAGTGTCTTAAGTCTTTCACTTGCCTCCCATACCAGACCATTTCTCAAAATTCACAAAAGAAAAGGTATAGGAAAAGAGGAGAGAGAATCATGAGGAACAGGGAAAGCTGTATTCTTTTTTGGGGAAAAAGGACATCACTAAATCTTTTCTCAGACTCTTTCAGTGGAAAAAAAGGAGAAACTCCATAAAGACATATCTATACCATATAAAATAGCTCCCCAGGTACACAGACTTAGGCATATGCCAAAAGTATATTTGCAGGCTGCTTAAATCTGAGAAAGGCCATCACCTTATGTCATACTAATAATCAGCAACCAGAGAGAAGAAGAGCACTTTTCAAATCTAGCTATCTCCAATGCACACCACCGCAGGCTGCTGTTCAGATTTAATCTTGTAAGAAGCCTCTCATCTTCAATAAAGAGGTCTAACTGGCTCAGTCTATAATCCATCTTTTTTATTAGAAAGCATTTATGCTCCTGATGAACTATAGTAAAATCTCATTTTACAGATCATGAATTTACTGAATAAAAGGAGGTTTTAGTTTGTAATATTCTCTGACTTCAAGGGTCACATTAATATCTGATAGTAATTTTCAAAATGGCACTAGAGCCAAGGGGCTGAATTTCTTTAATAAAGTCATCCTGAGTGGCTCTGGGGTACAATTTATGAGAAATCAAATACAGAGTTTCATAGGACATTTTTTCAAAAGATTGCTGTTGCTCTTTATTATATGTCCAAATGCAGCTGATGATCAAAACACAAATGGGAGATATAGGAGGATATATTTGACCAATGCTAAAAATGTATTTGGAAGGAAAAATCCAAATTAGGATTCAAAGATTTTCTCCTTATCTTTGATTAAAAATTATCTTTCTCTTTACTGCAGGAAAGCTGTCCTTACAAATATAAGAACAGTTGTGTCAGACAAAAATGAGTATTTATGCTCTGCATACACAGTAAGCATAGAAAAACATCAACACAGTGTGGTTGACTCTGTGGACAGTTTATCATCTTGAGCCAATAACTTCTTGCCAGTATATACAGAAGAAGAATCAAATACAAGAAAGGAGAACAGATGAGTGGGTAACCCATAAGGATACTCTAACTCAGTCCTTGGGGTAGTCACTCAAGCTGTGCTTGGGATAGACCCCAAGACAGACCGTCTCCTGTGGAAAAGACTATTCCCATCTCCAATGAAGGTTACAAGGTAACTGGTTATTCTATGAAGAAATGTTGATGAGATACCTTTACTCTACTATGAAGATAAATAAAGATGTCAAGGCCCATCACTTCCAAGTTTCCTTGAACAGAGCCTCAAAATTTTAGTTTGAGCTCACTGGTCCTTGACAGACTTCAGTAAAGGGTGAAGTATCCCCAGCTCCTCCTGAAACCAAGGAAAACTGCCAGTGCTCATCACTTCACAAGTCTGACTACCTTTGAAGTAGATGACCAGATTGATTTTTATTGGAAGAGTATTATCAAAATGGTGGATGGTTGTGTCCTACAGTGATAAAATCTGAGTAAATACCATACTGGTGCAACCCAACAGCCCATCATGTCCAATGGCACAGCTGGCAGGGGTCAACGTCCAGATGCTTTTGATAACAAATTCTGACTGAACATCTGTGGGAAAAGCTGCAAAGGAAGGCTTTCTCTTACCCCAGCAGGTAAAATCAGCTTAACCCTGAAACATCAGATCTCACAGCATTTTCAAAGACAGCCATGCAAACTACCTAGGATAGCCATGGCAAAATCACCCTCATCCAACAAAACACTTAGGCATGTGCCTAACTTTAAGCATATTAGCAGTCCTTTGAAGTCAATAGGACTATAATGTGTTCATAGTGAAACTTGTGTTTAAGTGCTTTATTGGACCAAGGCCATTGTGCATAGGCTTAACAAAATTATGACTTTCCTCTCCCTCTGTGTAAAAAAAAGTAGACTTATACTTTTTAAGTAGACTTATACATTTGTATTTATGTACCTAATTGGAAAAATAAAATTGATGGACATTTATAGTTGAAAAGAGTTGGTTGGTGTTCTGACCACACCTAACAGTTTACAGTCTGAAAGCCAATAACTTTTTTTGGTAAAAGTATGACAGCAGCATAGCAGAAATCAGTGTTAATTTTGTATACTGTTAGTTTAGTGCATTAAAACATTCCAAAAATAATGTATGATGCATTCTTTTGAAATCCTGTATAAATGAAAGGAAATTTTGAATCACAGCAATCCTTTCATTCAGCAACCGATTGATTTACAAAGAAACTCAGAAAATTCTAGGCATTTTTTCTTTGACTTATAGCAAGCCTATATTATAATTGAGGTTTTCCTGTTGAATATTAGTGTCTGGTATTTTTCAGTGAAGTGCAAGATAAAAAAAAAAACAACAAAAAACACCTAAAATACTTTTTGTTCTACCTTGGCATTTGCTAAACTAGTCACATGACTATTTAACTACTAAAATCCTAAATTATAGAACTTCTCATGTTAAAGTCACACTTTCGGTACCTTCAACAGAAGCCAATGGAGATTGGTAATACAAAATTAGAGCAAGTAACTGACTGGACAGTGACAGAGCTCCAGATGTTGGCATTGCACCTGAATTTTGAGTTCAGGCAGATGATTTTTTTTATTTTTATTTTTTAACATATGCACAACCAAAGCCTGTAACAGGTCATTAAAGCAAACTCCATCAACCTCAGAAGTGATGTATTTTTTACTCAGTGGCATTCACAACACACACGTGGCAATGCTTTGGACACAATACTTCCTTGAAGCACATTCACTCCGCCTTTGATAGGCATACATTCAGAGCGATCTCAGGTTAGGATTAAGAAGCATCAAAGCACTTGTATTATGATGCCTTGCAGATCATCAGGAATTTATAATGGAATGGACAGGATGGTGGTAACTCTGAAAGTTTTCTGAGATCTTTAACTGAGTTTGTAGATGAAACTCCTCTTCC